TCCATTTCCAAAATTAATTCTTTTTTAAAGATCATTCTGGTTTGGCTGAGAACCTTTCAGCATATATAATGTCATGTGCAGGTAGCTGTCATTTTTGTTGTCATTGCTGATATTCCATTGCTTACAAATAAAGTGATAAAATAACTGTAATAAAAAAGAAAAAAATAGTTAAATTCCAATATTTGTTTGTAATTTATGACTACAATAAATTTGTTTATAATCTGATACTTTGTCCTACTTGTAGTTGATGTTTGTATAATCTTTATTCTGAAGACTCAGATATTTAGGCATTGGTTTATTCTCAAACTATACAACAAACTTGATGATTTAGGCTTTGGAGACCCTTCATAAATGTAAATCGGAATCATTTTTATTCTGTTACAGTTTTAATTGCATCTCTTTACAATATTTTACAGTCTTTTGCTCCAATTACAAAATGAAGGCCCCATCTTCTGGCAAAAAACATTTTCTTTTAAAGTTGGTTCCTTTCTTCTTCACAGTAAAAATAATTGAGCTAGACAATTCATCAAAATTAAATTTCTTTCATTCTTGCTTTAAATGCTTCATTTGTCTTCCATATATATATATAAATATATAAATATATAAATTTCAAACATTATCTTTAGTGGATACCCATAATTGAGTAGATACCCTCTTTTTTAAACAATGTGTTATGTTTGCTTGCCTGTGCAATCAAGAAAATTTAAAAAAGAAAATGTGCCCTCCACCAGGTTCAGACCTGCATCCCTCTTTGTAGGAGAAACCACCATCTGATCCAGTGTGCTTTAGGCAGCTCACTCATGGAGAGCATCACAGCCCAACAAGGTTCTATTTACTCTTTTAAGGAATGCACATCTCCTTATTCAGATTTTCTCGAAAGCCCATATCTACTCAGTCTTGTATCTGAAATGTAAACAAAGCAATTTCTAAAGAATTAATGGATTTATTTTTAATCTAACATTTTTGTTACTTCATACTTTATTTTTAGTGGATATCCATATTTGAGTAGACACCCTCTTACTTTGTTTATATAAAAATAGTTTTCGTATCCTAACCAAGGAGTTAATTCAACCAAAGAGCATAGGAAACATGAATTATTAAATCCAAAAGTGTGGCTCCAGGCTTTTGACCTGTAATAGTTTCATTGTTTCATACATGCAGGTGGTGACTTGCAAGACGAATAGTTCAATATAATTGCCAACTATGACAACTGACCAGATTTTAAATACCTGATGATCAGTTTATCACTGTGTAAGTAGCACAAGGAATATTTTTAGAAAGTTGTTTCACTGTATTGAGCTAGACAGTTTTTCTCTCCAGAATCTAACTTGCATATCTATAAGTCTAAAATTTGTCCATGCTTAGAATATTGCTGCCACTGCTGATCCTGTTATATATTTAGAGAGTCTTGATAAAATCTAAATCAGAATCATCAATATTATTAGTCCTGGCCTGGCATCTTAACTTCAGTAACTTTCTCACCATTGTAAAGTTGCTTCCCTGTACTTTTTCTATAAATACTTTGTTATTATACATAGACTTTAAGAATTTAAGTGCAGAACTAGACTAGCGATGAGGTCTCATCAATTTACAGTCAAGATGGTTAGATGTAACTAACAGTTTCTTTTCCTGCACTTCTCACTTGTGGAACTATCTTTTGGCTCCATGCTTTCCAGTCAACATTCATCTTCAAAAATTTAAATGCAATGTCAGTTGCTATCTAATATCTTCCTGATTACTCTTTTACTGTTCTCATTCCTTAGTAATGTTCTGTTTACTAGTTCTTCCACATCCAGTAACTCCTTGTGTCTTAGTGGTTTTACTGCCTTGCTCAGAGTGAACTTGATTTTAAAAAAAAAAAAAAATTAGAAAAATGCATAATATTTACATTATATGTGAAAGATGTTGAGCACAGTATTAAAAAAATCAATATTAGCTTGCATTTGGCCAAATTATATTTCAGTTGAGTGATATAATAATTTGTGTTTTTTATATATATAATATATATATTGTCATCCACAGACAGACTGTTTCACTGTATCACAGCTCATCAGTATGGCTAAACATCTGATTGTCTCAAGCCATGATCGAAACTTGACTGATTTGGCATGTCGGATATTTTTCCCTTAAACTAGCAACTCCCGGCAGAGAGGAAGGTGAATTTTTATGTATTTATTTTTTAAGAAACACATCATTGAGTGCTCTTGATTCATAGAAGAGCTTTTGCATTATCAGCAGTAGCAGTCACTGTTTACAAATTTGTGCTTACCCTCAAGAGTGCTTGACTGAATTTTATTTTTTCGGGGGTGTATATATTGTCATCCACAGACAAACTGTTTTGCTGCATCACAGCTCATCAGTGTGGTTAGACATTCGACTGCCTCAAGCCAAGATTGAAACCCGACTGATTTAGCATCAGACAGAGACTTTTCCCCCTAAGCTATCAGCTCCCAACAGAAAATGTACTTTTTTTCCTTTTAATATTTTTCTAAGAAACTTTAAGCATCTTTTATTTATAAAATCCACTATTGATATTTCTGATTAATTCATTGTGAATGATATCTAATCTTTGTTTCTCCTTGCCATTCATATAAAGTGCATTATGAAATCTAATTCTCATTTCAGGGGCATTATTATGTTTTGATAGAATTATTATCATCAGCCACCAATATTGTTTGTCTTTGTTTTTCTTCTTTATGCAAAATAATTATAAGCTCTCTGAAAGGAACCATTCACTTGTATCATACATAGAATATAAATAGCCAGAATGTGAAGCCTAAAACAGAATTAAAACCAGCAGATCTCTTATGTTGTTGAAGTAGTCCTTTATACTGAATGTTGTCAAAATAATCTCAGGGGAAATAGTTTGGCTTCTTTTACGATCTCTTTATTACCCATGTTTGTGTATAACGTATGCATACATAGTTGCACACATTCACATTATCTTATCTCGTTTGCTTACTTCCGACCTCAGCAAATCTGCTTTCCATCTGAAATCTTTTTTCCATTTGACAACTAATAATGAATCTATTGTCCTGCTTTACCTTGTTCTTTCTGCCACAGAATATGTCCTGCTTTTACAATTGACTGTAAAGATGAATTTCTTTCAGTCATAAAATCTTGCCACCTGACACACATTGAGAGTCAAAACCACTTTAAATCATTCTATTGGTTCAAGCTCGATATAACTGCTTAAGTTTAGTGTCTTATGTTGCAATCAAGATGTTCAGTGATCGAACTGCAGACTACCTAAATGCATATTAGCTATCAAAACAAGAGTGGTTCAACATATTTCCAAGTTCTTTTTAGTTTTGAGTGTTCAGGGAAAGCTGTGTTATCATGGTTACTAAAGTTTTATCCACATTGAAAAGATATATAAATAAATCTGAATTAGGAACAAATGATGTGTATTCAAATAATCAATGAATTGAGTACACTGACATACAAAAAGAGTGTAACAAAGATATATTTGCTTAATGAATTTATTTAACCTGTACAGCAAAATGATTCTGATGGAGTTAGATGACCTACCAAGTACATAATCTTGACAACATATACAATGCTGATGATGCTGTGTTGATGGCATTCTTGGAAAGAAAAAAGAAAAAAAAAAACTATTAGTAAAGATAGCTGATGAAAGAAAGAAGAAAGGACTGACCATTAGTTTTAATATGACAGAATGCTTGTTAGTAAGCAAAAGGGGCAGCCCAAGATGTGAATTACACATTGGGGATGACAAAACTAAACAAATACCAAAATTCAAATATCTTACCAGTGTAATAACAAATGACACAAATTTGAAGCACATTGAAATTGTGAGAGTTATTTTTTAGAAATTGTAATAAAGGAAAAAATGCTGGACTGCAAAATAATGCCTGTACACTTATATGGCAGTAAAAGCTGAACAATTTCATAACAGATGAAAAAAAATGACTTGCAGCAGCTGACATGTAGTTCTAATGACATGTTGAGAATAGCATAGACAAATTATGGAACAAATAAGAAAGTTCTAAGGATACAAGAAACTACGAAGAAATAAAAGAGATTGCTGACATTTTTTAGACTGATAATGAGGAAAGAAAAGAGAATTTAACACTTTGCGGTACATTGTAGGCAAGAGGAATGGAGAAAAGTATGAGGTAACCTACTTGAAATGTTTGAGCAAAAGAATAGAGGAACAAATAGCACAAAAATGAAACCATACAGATGAAAGGAATAAAATATGGGATGCTGTGAAGAGTCATGATTGTCCATATCTTGAAGAGACCTGACACAGTTGAGAGAAATTGTTTCATCAGATAGTATGTTCATTTATATTTATTTTTCAAATTGTTCCATTTGATTGAGAACGACAATTTTAGTTTTGTTTATCATTGTCTCTTTTCTTGGATGTTTTTTTTTTTTTTTTTAAATTATTTGGATGATTGTAAAGTATTTTTAACATCTTTTGATAAAGTTTGTTTCCTGGCATCAAAAATCGATAACTGTTCCATTTTTAAGTTGTCTTTTAATGTGCATATTGTAAACTGTCACATCTTAAACTTTGGTCAAGAATATTTTTTTAAAGTTTACCAATTTATCCATTATTTTTTATATCATGAAGAAAAGATGTAAATTTATTTAAAATTTAATATTTAAATTTATTTAAGTTTGTTATTAAAAAAAAATGAATGAAGGGAACTTTAAACATTTTTGTATCCTTGGCATTTTTGTGTATTGTTTTTTTTTTTTTTTTTGTGCACTTCCATTTTTTTTTTTTTTTTTTTTTCACTTCCTTTTTTTTTTTTGTTATTTGTGCACTTCCCTTTTTTGTTATTTGTGTACTTCTTTCCTGGTTATCTGCGTACTTCTTTCCTGGTTATCTGCATACTTCTTTCCTGGTTATCTGCGTACTTCTTTCCTGGTTATCTGCGTACTTCTTTCCTGGTTATCTGCGTACTTCTTTCCTGGTTATCTCATGCTTCTTTTCTGGTTATTTATGTACTTTTTTTTGGTTATTTATGTATTTCTTTTTTCTGGTTATTTATGTATTTCTTTTTTCTGGTTATTTATGTACTTCTTTTTCTGGTTATTTATGCTTTCTTTTTCTGGTTATTTGCGTACTTCTTTTTTTTCTGGTTATTTATGCATTTCTTTTTTCTGGTTATTTGGTTATTTTTTTTTCTGGTTATTTCTTTTTTTTTCTGGTTATTTTATTTTTTTTTTTCTGGTTATTTATGTATTTCTTTTTCTGGTTATTTTCTTTTTTTTCTGGTTATTTATGTACTTCTTTTTCTGGTTATTTATGCATTTTTTCTTTCCTGGTTATCTGCGTACTTCTTTTCTGGTTATTTGCGTACTTCTTTTTTCTGGTTATTTGCGTACTTCTTTTTTCTGGTTATTTGCGTACTTCTTTTTTCTGGTTATTTGCGTACTTCTTTTTTCTGGTTATTTGCGTACTTCTTTTTTCTGGTTATTTGCGTACTTCTTTTTTCTGGTTATTTGCGTACTTCTTTTTTCTGGTTATTTGCGTACTTCTTTTTCCTTGGGGGGGAGGTTATTTGCGTACTTCTTTTTTGTTTTTCATCTACATTTTTGTATTTTGTGTGTTTCTGTTTTTCTAAAGAACAAATATCTTTTTTTGTTTAAAAATATGTGTGTGTATGGAGGGAAGTACACTTTTTCACTACCTTTTTATCTCTTTTCATGCCTTCTGTGCCTCACTTTCCACGCCTTCCTTGTATTTTTTGTTTGTGCATCTAATGAAGTTGTCTCCCTTTTATTTTTCTTTAAAAATCTTCTGAGAAAAATAATTGTTTCATGAGGAGGAAAACATTTTTTGTATTTAAGCCAAAAATAATGTGTGATTGGTGATGTGTAATAGCCGTGTAAACATCTTTTCATTTTGTTTATTGGCCATAAATTGCAACTTAAGGGCTGTCTAGGTAAACATCTTGAAAGCACAAATTTAAATATTAAATATAATGAAATGTAGATATTTTTGTTTTCTCTGATGATAGTTTTCTTCTAAAACAGTTGATTTTTCCAGTTCATTTCTTCTATTTCATCAGAATTTACCTTTTGTCTATATTTTGATATTCTACTTCATTCTTTTCAGTAGAAATCATAAACATGTTTCTCTCTCGCTTAGTATTATGTTTTGAAGTAAAAATTTAGACACGTTTGTTGTTATATTTATGGTGATACTCATTTAGTAGCATTACTAAATATGACAAGTTATTTTCTGTTGATATTATTTGATTGTTATAAACTTATTAACATAACTTTTTTAAAGGCATTTTTTGTGATTGTTTTTTTTTTCATATATTTTTATTTTTGTGATTTTTGGGACATATTTTATTTTTACAATTTTGGGGGCATATCTTTATTTTCAGAATTTTTTCAGATATACTTTTTATTTTTACAATTGTTTTGGACATTTTTTACTTTTGTCTTTTTTTTATTTTTGTCTATTTTTTTTTTTTTTTTTTTTTTTTTTGCGATTGGGAGGTGGTGGGGATTTTTTAGGAAATATACTTTCTGTCTCTCTTGCCTCCTTTACCCTCAAAAGTAGTATTCTATATGCTTTCAATTCAAGAGTAACATTTTTGTCTACAAGTAAATATTATTTGCAAGTTCAGTGTGTATAGCTTGAAAGATCAATTACCAATGAATTTTATTTTTGTGAAAATAATATAAATCTATGAAGCTATCTTGAATTGATAAGATAGAATTAGTTGAAATTTAAACTATAAAACTACCATCTACAATGAGCGCATAAAATTTGCTATCGGATTATCTTGCAGGTCAAGATGAAAAATCTGATACTGGTTGAAAAAAAATAAATATCCTTTTTATTCCATTAGGGTACAATAATTTAATGTGATTTAGAATTATTTTTTTTTAATTTTTTGGGCAGTGAAGTACAGACTGTTGTCATCTTTTTGTTTTGTCTTCCTGTGTTTTGATATTTATTGCTTTTTCATTTCTTTTTATAGGAAATAAAGGATCATATGGCCAGTCCGGCCACCAAGTCAAAAGAACAGGCAAAAGTAAGACAGGTTTGTGCCTTTTAGACACTTTCCCCTTTTATTTTTCATTTATCTTTTTTTTGTAGCTTGTCTGTTTTTAATTTTTTCCACTTTAGCTTTTTATCCACAGCAAGATCTTTCTTTTTTTACCTCTCCATTTTTAAACTTTTCTTCTCTCTTTCTTTTTTACTTTTCTTCTCTTTCTTTTTTACTTCTCTTTCTTTTTTACTTTCCTTCTCTTTCCATTTTACCCTTTTCTTTTCTTTCCATTTTTTCCCTTTTCTTCCCATTTTCTTTTCTTCCCATTTTCTTTTCTTCCCATTTTCTTTTCTTTCCATTTTTTCCCTTTTCTTCCCTTTTCTGTTCTTCCCCTTTTCTTTTCTTCCCCTTTTTTTTCCATTTTCTTTTCTTTCCGTTTTCTTTTCTTTCCGTTTTCTTTTCTTTCCCTTTTCTTTTCTTTCCCTTTTCTTTTCTTTCCCTTTTCTTTTCTTTCCCTTTTCTTTTCTTTCCGTTTTTTTCTTTCCTTTCCGTTTTTCCCCTTTTTGTTTCCACTGTTTTTCTTTTTCTTTTCCCCTTCATATTTTCCTTTTCTTTTCCCCTCTGTTTTTTCTCCCCACTTTGTTTTATCTCCACCCCTTTCGCACCCATTTTTCTTTTCCTTTCTCTCCCACCCAGCATATTTTTTCTCCCCAAATCCACATATTTTTCTTTTCTTCTGCCTGCATTTTTCTTTTTTTTTTGTTTACCTTTTCTTAATTTACCTTTTCTTAATTTACCTTTTCCTTTTCATTCTCCTTTTTTCTTTTTCTTCCTCTTTTTTTTTTCTTTCACCAGATTTTTATTTTCTTTTACTTTCTCTGGTGTTTATTTTTATTTTCTTACCTCCTTGTTTCTTTCCCCATTATTTTTTTTCGCTCCCTTCATTATTTCTTTTTCTTCCCTTCCTTTTTTTTCTATTTCTGCCTTCCTTTTGTGAAAATTTAAACTCCTGCTCTTCTCTGTCTGTATTGCTCTCTCCCACCTGCTTTTGCTAAAGTCTTAGTTTGTTTTCTTTTAATCATAACCATGTTAAATGTCTTTTGTTTTTTGTTTGCAACTTTGAGAATTCAAAGAAAAATAATAAATGTATTTTCTCTGATTTTTGTAGATTTGAGAAAATGTTTGAGTTTTCTGAAAAATCATCAATTTGTTATACAGTTTTGTTTAGTTTATTTCATAGAAAGTTTTTGTTTTTGTTTAACTGTGATTGAAGAAATTTTAGAAATAAACAAAATATTCCAGGAAATATTTTTTATGCTTTTATTTAAAGATATTGATTTATTTTGGTGTTTGTCATTTTCACTTTATTTTCAAAATTTCAATGATTTTCTAAATTGTTCCTCTGTACATATAAAAGTTCAAATCAACTGTTTTTTAAATGAAGACTATATTAAAAATATTTGATCTGAACGGTCAAGAAATGAAAATAGTTAAGTAATTTTAGTGTTTTTTTAATATAAGTAATCTGTGACTTTTATCTGAACATTTATCTCTATTGATACATGTAAGAAAGAATTCTACTTTTTAAATTATTAAAAAATACAAAGAAAGCAAACACAAAATAAAAAATTAAACAATGTATTAGAAGCCTGATTTCTCCTATTTAATAATGAAATGTTCCATGTTATTAAAAAAAAGACATATTTGCTTATTGACACACAGTAATACTTCATAACTACAAAATATCTCATAGGGGGAGATCAGGCTGCATGACTGATTAATATATAAATCACACTTTCTTTTTTTTATGTTGTAGAATAATGAATTACAAGTTTATTATACATAACACACAGAATTTAAAAATTTAATAGATTAATAGTTGGTGCCAAAATAATCACCATGTTTAACCATTGGGATGTATATATGAACTGTCTTCTTTGCAATTTTATGAGAAGTGGCAAAAAAATGAATGGATTTAGTAAATAACCATGCAAGCTGAATACTTTCACATTTACACAGTTGTTGCTTACATTTGAGGAAAGTGAAGCACTTGCAAGTTTTGTTCATAGATTATTTGAATTCAGAAGCTTAACACATTAATACCCACCATAAGAGACAGTCTTAATTAAAAAAAAAATAAAAATCTAGTATTATTTATAAATGTTTGTAAATAAAATCTGGTGTTAATTATAAGCTGGAAAAAAACTGGTATTATACCTTTAAAAAAGTGTCTTGTATCATAGGTTTCTCTTTATAATACGTTATTGAGTTAAATATCTGGGTTGAAAGTTGAGGATGTTGATGGTCTTTCATTAAAGACTGTTTATTGAAAATATTTCAAAATCTTGTAAATACTGTTTTTATTTTTCAGAGAAAACATATTTGTTAACATTGCTTGAACAAATTATAAACAAATTTCAATGACAAATCACTCAGAAAAGAAGAGAATGTTTACCTCTTATGATTTGTTATTAAAACATGTCTTGTGTGGATTTTATAAATTCATAGTCAATTGTTGAGTTTCTATTCAGTGTTTTCATTTATTGGCTTTTTTTTTAGTTTCATCTGTGCAAATTGATTCTTCAGTCTTGATGGCTTCATTGCTTGATTGCTCAACTGTTGATCTATTTGTAGTTTGGTAGCATGAATATAATAACAGTTGCCTATGTGTCATAGAAGAATATACCTCCCTAAAACTAATCACCATATTAGGTCCTCCCTTTCACTATTCCATTTTGCTGTCCTAAGGGTTGTGATATATAGCAAGGAAATCTGGTAGTGGAGGAGGAAGTTAGCCAATGAAACAGGAAAGTTTCTTTCTCTCAAGTGAAATCTCACTGTGTATATCAATTTAGTCTTATATGGCTTCTAGCATTTTTAAATGTTAAGAATTCCAGACACTTGCTTACTATTCATTAGAAATATTCACTATTTGATTAAAATCTGGACAAGCAAATTAAAATTTGATTATCCATTAGCTATAACTTTAATTTGTTTAATGCCACAAGATATATCTGTTGGACTTTATTTATTGAATCATTCAAGAGAATTGGCTGTCTTCCTTCTTGTCTGTCATAAAACTCTAAATTGAAGTTTGAAGATGTAGATTTCTGTATTTTTTTTTTAGTTTTTCACTTCTGAAAGGTTTTATTTGACTAGGTGTTTAGTTTACACCACAAAAACTATTGGTTTTGGTAGTGATCTTTTCTTGTACTCTTATTTTAATGGAGTTTGTTTGACTTGGTACAGAAGTATATTACAATACAGCATATGGTAAAAAATGCCAAAATATTATAGGCAGTAGCTGATGGGGATGCATTTAGTTTTGCATCAAATATGTCATCTGGCTAAATAAGAGTTAGTGTAGATGTGGGGACCATGGAACACAGACACACCTGATTTAACCCTATTTCAGGTAGGTTATTTTGGAGTTGAGGAGGCAGGGGTAAATTTAAAATGGCATAGAGATCCAAATAATAGATAAATTGTTTTAAACTTTACAGGATTATTCTTTTACATTTTAAATTTTCATTTTAACATTTTATTTGCATAAATACTAACATTTCCATCACAGACCCTAGTAAAAAGAAAAAAAATTAATTATATACTACACTACGTTTAGTATATCTATTAGGACCTTGAATAAGTTCTCCCTGTTTTCCAACAGATGGTGTTCTTAGAACTATGAGTGTGTAGTTTCAGATGATAAGGCATCTATAAGGAAGTACTCTAAGCAAGCTTGAAATTTAGTGTATGTCATTTCGCTGAATTGTAAACAACTTTGTTTTTCATAGCATTAAACATGTCGGATTTCATGCCAAAGAAAGTGTATTTGCAGGGAATTTTATTGCACTACTTTATTCAAAAGAAATCTGTAGCAGAAGCACACAGAATTCTTGTTGAGACTTATGGCGACCATGCTCTGTCAGAAACAACAGGCAGAAATTGGTTTAGATGCATCAAAAATAAAGATTTTCATGTTGAAGATAAAAAACACTCTGGTGCACCAAAAAAGTTTGAAGATGAAGAATTGGAGGCATTACTTCATAAAGATTGCAGAATTATTAGGAGTTGATCACACAACAGTTTTGAAATGTTTGAAAGCATTAGGAACGATTCAAAAGCAAGTACATTGTGTGCTGTGTGAGTTGAGGCCAAGAGATGTCAAACAGTGTCTTGTCACATGTGAACAGCTGCTTCAACAGCAGAAAAGGAAAGTTATTTTGCGTTGTATTGTGACTGTAATAAAATTAATTATGAATACTGAACAAATGTTTTAAAATGTTTACAGCAGATAGTTTAAAATATCAAAGTTCATACTAATAGTTTTAATACTTATTTCTTAAAAACTCTTGACAACACCATACTTAGTTACCTTCCCTGAAGCATTAGTCAAGCCAGTCACAGTACTCACTCAACATTCTTCAATTTATGAATTGTAAAAAAGCAATTTTGTCTTTGAAAATGATAAACACTACAATATTTGTCTTGAAATAAACAACACTCTGATGAGTAACTACATCAAAAGTACTCTGAATAAAATAATATGTATGAACGTGGTAATTTTCTCTCTTCCTTTAATAAGAATACTAAGAAGCTTGTCCATGAATAAGAAAGGATCCATGTGAAAATAAGTAGAAAAAACTTGTCTAAATTATTCAATGAAACATGTCTTAACAAAAAGCATGTTGCCAAAATATATATATATATATATATATATACACACACACACACACAGACATATATATCTCCATACATAAGAACCTATACAAACGTGTGTGTGTATGTATGTGTATATATATATATAGAACCTACATGAATGAATGTGTGTGTGTGTGTGTGTATATATATATATATATATATATATATATATATATATATATATATATATATATATAAATTCATCCTATATTAGGAAACACAGGATTTTGGGAAGTTGATCAGGCTGAGAACTTTTCAGCACCTGTCATATATGAATCTGAATTAGAATCACAAAAGTGTCATATGCTTAATTTATTTTTGCTTTGATTGATTTTTTTGGTCCTGGCAAG